CCGCCCTTCCTGGGCACAGGACAGCTGACCACAGGGTAAGGGTAACCTGTTCAGCAAGTGACTGGCGCCCGAGGTACCTCTGTGTTCTGTCTGCGAGCTCCCTCTCACCAACTCCAGCTAACCTCTCTTCCTTCTGCCTCTTCTCTTCTGCTAACCTGCTTGCTGACCTGTACAGACGAACTCTACCAGCAACTTGAGCAAAACCGCCGCCTAACTAACCAACTAAAGCTGGCCCTGAATGAGGATTAAACTTAAGTGGGAGAGAACCTGGGCTGAATTCTAGGAACACAGCCCATGGGCAGGAAATCTAAGACTGTCATACCTTCACCTAATAGGGTTGAAAACGATTCCTTTCTGCAGAATTGAACATGAATCAGTTGAAAGGCTGGCCTTGCCTGCATTTTCCTCTCATATCTGGAATAATTAAGTTCTCTTTAATCCCCAAACCACTTTTATGGTAAAATTACATCTGTGTATATGGATCAATGTTTATAATCAATTCAGCACTCATCTTTGCAAGAGCAGGTCCTCTTGTTTGAGCTGATGCATAATGAGGACCAAAAAAATGTTTTCTATTTCCTACAGAGAACTGAGTCTTGCTTTAAGTTAGAAAGCCAAAGCAGAGGGGTGTGTATGGGTATAAGTATATATATATATATATATATATATATTATATATAGGATGTGATATATATAATATATATTCCTATTACATATTCATATTTCTAACTTCTAAGTATCTGGTATAGTGTTTGAAATATGATTACCTATGCTTGGGCAAAATAGCTTTTGAAAACAGGAGTTCATGTCAGAAGTCCCTGATTGTCTGAAAGGTATGCTTTTTATTCAATCTAACAGTGTTGTTGGATTCTGGTGAGAATGTCATGCTAATAATAAATAGAGCACTGTGAAAATAATAATAAGAGAATGTCCTACTGGAGTGTGCATGAAACGTGTTGGTAATTTTTTTTTAATGAGTAACAGAAATAAATCATTGAAAAAGTTGTCAGAAAGCCTATTTACGTCATCTTTGTTTTCTGTGAGACTGTGTTACAACACAACTCTCAGACCTTAACTGCCTGTAACTCAGAAACGTCTGCTGTTAACTTCAGTGCTGCAAGCACCTCTCCCTGTTCCCACGGCACATGACTAGTGAACCTTCACCAACCCCACCTGCATTTTGTCCTCAGTGGATTGTTGGTGGAGGTTCACCTGGCCACTCTGTGAGAACCTGCTGTGCCTGTAGTTCCTTCGGGTCCAAGACAGCTTCCCCTTTGTAGGTCCTTGTCTGGAAATGAGTAATGTCTTACGAGCATGCCTGGCCCTAATCATCTCATCCTGTGTTTGTGATTGATGTTTGCCTGCCTAAATGTACAAACCACCACTGTGTCCAAAGCGCAGCTATTCATGACTTAATTTTCTAATCCCACCACAGAGAAAGTGGCTCATGCCAAAGAAGAAAACCTTAGTATGCACCAGATGCTGGATCAGACTTTACTGGAGTTAAACAACATGTGAAAACCTCCTTAGCTGCGACCACATTCTTTCATGTTGTTTTTGTTTTTTGTTTTGTTTTGTTTTTAAACACCATGCTTACCATGAAACCCCTTAAATGCATTTTTATTTACTTTTACCACTGTCACAGATACATCCACAAAGTACCAGCTAGATCAGGGGTGGGAAAGACACACAGGCAAGCCCGTGTCAAGGCGACAATGATTTAAATGTGCCATTTCCCAAGTTGACGTTGCCACACTTCGTAGAGAGTAGCAACACAGTATGCTTAGTCCAGGAATCCTTGCTGAAGCAGAAAGATTTTCACTCAAAGTGCCAATGATACATGAACAGGAAGATTAATGTTGGAAACACAATCAGGTGTGGATTGGTGCTACTTTAAACAAAAGGTCCCATTGTGGTCTTTCATTCAATATTGTACAATTTAGAATTCTGTCCAACACTAATTTATTTTGTCTTGGGTTTAATGATGAGGTGAGACTACGGATCCTGTCTGGCAGAATTCACTAAAGCCAAGGGTTTGTAAGCCAACGTGCTCTTCTAAGGCTTCTGTTTTCTTTTAATTGGCACATTTGCAGTTCGTTACAGCTCGTGGGATAGCACGCGATGTGGATTTCCACCATGTTCAAGTGAAAGATTTAGGCACCACGTACAATGGTGAAGAAAAAACATTGTCTTAAGAGTTATAACTGTATGGAAACCTTGTATAATGATATGGAATAAATGCACATTGTAGGACATTTTCTAAATGGGGTGGTCCTGTCATTTGTACGCTTTTACTTTGTGAACTTTAGATCGTGTGATCGACCTACCTTCCCTCACACATGTTTCTTAAAGCAAATCAATATCCCAATGTCCAGGAGGAAACTGGGTTTCATGTGTCATCCTCCCAGAAGCACTCAAGCCAGCATCCCTTTTGTCTGTTAAAGTTACAGCCAAGCAGCAAAGGACACTTTCCAAGTCCAAGCCTTTCTCCAGGTTATGGGTTATATCTGCATGTACATACATGTAGACCTTTTGCCATGCCTCTACTTGTTTGGGGATTTTTCCTCAATTCTTAGCTAAGTCTCTAGTGGTGGCAGTCATACACATCAGCAAACTGTGGGTCAATGCACCGAATGTGTTGTCACCTAGCAGTGTGATTCTACTTCAGAGTAGAAGTAAAGAGTCTTGGTGACTTTCTGCTTTCTAATGCATGTTGAGTTCTAAATTCCAATACATGTTCTTTTTATTGGACTTGGAAACTGAAAACATCACAGGTCAGTCTTAAAGATGTTAGACAAACAAAAACATTACAATATTAGTACAATATTGTACAATATTAGTCATACAACATTACAAAAACAGATTACAGTATTAGTTGGCTAAGCTTGTGCTACAGAGGAAAAAAAGACGTTCCCATGAAAAGCGAACACAGTAAAATGGAAATAAATTCATTTGGATGCATGGATATTTTCATTGAAAAGGATTCAGTATCTCTGTAGCTGTTCTTCCACACCCTTTGATCAGGTATTACGTTGGCCAGAAAATGCCTTCAGTTTTTTTTTGTTGTTTTTTTTTTTAAAGAAGATGTTGGGGGTAAGAGTTTTTATTTATTTATTTTTGCTGTGTTGGGTCTTCGTTTCTGTGCAAGGCCTTTCTCTAGTTGTGGCAAGCGGGGGCCACTCTTCATCGCAGTGCGCGGGCCTCATTATCGCGGCCTCTCATCGCGGAGCACAGGCTCCAGACGCACAGGCTCAGCAGTTGTGGCTCACGGGTCTAGTTGCTCCGCGGCATGTGGGATCCTCCCAGACCAGGGCTCAAACCCGTGTCCCCTGCATAGGCAGGCAGATTCTCAACCACTGCGCCACCAGGGAAGCCCGCCTTCAGTTTTTTAACTAAAAATAAAAGACATTTTTCATTTTCACCAAGAACTTTGCTGAACAGTGTATGCACCCTTTTGTTCCATTGCCTTCCGCGATTTTCAGGCAACTTCATAATTCCATTTTCCCAAAACTTTGTATCTTTTTGAGCAAAGAACTGTTCCAGATGCCTCTTACAGTCTTCCAGGGAATTGAAATTTTTTCCATTAAGAGAATTTTGTAAAGACCTAAATAAATGGAAATCCGAAGGTTCAATGTCTGGTGAACACGGCGGATGAATCAGAACTTCCCAGCCAAGCTGTTACAGTTTTTGCCTGGCCATCAAAGAAACATGCAGTCTTGCGTTATCCTGATGGAACATTATGCGTTTTCTGTTGACTAATTCTGGACACTTTTCGTTGAGTGCCGCTTTCAGTTGGTCTAATTGGGAGCGGTACTTGTTGGAATTAATCATTTGGTTTTCCGGAAGGAGGTCGTAATAGAGGACTCCCTTCCAGTCCCACCATCTACACAACATCACCTTCTTTGGATGAAGACCGGCCTTTGGTGTGGTTGGTGGTGGTTCATCTCGCTTGCCCCATGGTCTCTTCCGTTTCACATTGTTGTACAGTATCCACTTTTCATTGCCCATCACAATTTGTTTTAAAAACGGGACGTTTTCATTACGTTTCAGTAGAGAATCGCATGTGGAAATAAGGTCAAGGAGGTATTTTGTCCTTAACTTACGTGGAACCCAAACATCAAAGCGATTAACATAACCAAGCTGGTGCAAATGATTTTCAGTGCTTGATTTGGATATTTTGAGTATGTCGGCTGTCTCCTGCATGGTATAACGTTGAGTGTTCTTAATTCATGTCTCGATTTGATTGCTATCGACTTCAACTGGTCTACCCAACTGTGGAGCATGGTCCAGCGAGAAATCTCCAGAACGAAACTTCGCAAACCACTTTTGACACGTTCGATCAGTCACAGCACCTTTTCCATACACTGCACAAATCTTTTTTTGCATTTCGGTTGCGTTTTTACCTTTCTTGAAATAATAAAGCATAATATGCTGAAAATGTTGCTTTTTTTCTTCCATCTTCAATATTAAGATGGCTACACAAAAAGTCACCAATTTTGATAAGTGATAAGTGTTTTTTTAAATGCACACTGATACGACAGCTGTCACATACAATCTAACAAAATTGTTTTGAATGAAGTTAAAGACAACTAAGTGCTACTAGAGCCATCTTACGGGAAAAAAAACGAATGAACCTTTCGCCAACCCAATATTTTCTCTCCGTAGACCCAAAGAGAAGCTTGGCGGCCAGGTTACAGTTCCCACCTCTAAAAAGCTGTCCTTTTGCTCAAGGCAAATAAACTCTCTGCATCTTGGCCTTCCTGCATCTTCACCAGCCCTGGGCACTTCCATGCCCATCCTCAGCTAGACAGAGATGGCCCCTGCCTCACTCTAGTCAAAAACTCTCCTACCAAAAAAAAAAAAAAAAAAAGCTCTCCTATACCCAGCATCTTTTCACTCTGGGAGCCAGATCTGGCTTCACTTTTCCTAGCTGCCTAGCCTGTCGAGTCCTTAAATCTGAGATCGTTCTTCTATGAAATGGACCCTTAGCTCACAGGTTATCATCGTGGAACTGGAATGTGTGACCCAGGTGATAAGTCCACAGCACAGCACGTCGGGCACGCTCGATGGCCCTTCCTGCTGCTGCCCTCAACGTGCCGCGTGTGCCATGGAGACCAACACGGAAGACTTGGGGAAGCTGGGACAACACTAACTCTGCTCCATGTGGCATTGATTGTTATCAGGACTATTCTCAGATACCCTGTGCCAGAACCTGTCATGAGCGCCTTACTGGTGTTATTTTAGCTTCACCTCAGTTCCATTTCACTTACACAGAAACAGGCTCAGAGAGGCTGAGGAAACTTGCTCACGGGTCCAGAGCTCCTGAGCAGCGTGGGCTGGCATCAAAGTCAGGCCTGTGTGACTCCAAAGCCCTGTTTGGTTTTTTCTTCCAAAGCAGCTCCTGGGCATGGGTAGAACCAGGTGAGGCAATGGGTACAGTTGGAAGAGGAGGAGGCTGGGAGGCTGGAGGTTGAGTCAGCTTGCAGCTGCCATGACCCCAGTGGGTGGTTTAAGGCCTCACTTCCTCCCTGGGTTCCAGGGACCAGATGAAATCAATGGATTACTATAGCATCATGCCAATTCGGAGAATTGTTATTACCTGATCGTTCTGATACATAGAAAAGGGAGAACGCCCTGTCCCCACGGGGCGCACAGCTTGGGTCCGACCCAGTGTGATCACCTCCGAACACGGGAGAGCGGTAAAGGCTCTTCAGTGTGCAAACACCGAGGCTGGACGCTGATACAGTCACCATTTAGAAAACCGTGTAGTACAGACAAAGCAAGATTCATACTCTAAATTCGTTGCCAAAACTTAGCAGGCCCAGATTTCAGAATGAACAGCTGGAGACGTTGCCTTGTTCAGTGTAAAGCATTGTGGAACTCCACAGAGAAAGGGTACAGGTTAAGGATATACGCATCTTCCAAAAATAATTTTGTGATGAGAGTTCTATGATCTCTTATTAAGGAAAAAAGAAGAGCACTTTTGTGGATACATTCTGAACTTTCTGACACTAGCGTTGAAGAGAACAGTCCTTACTGCTCCTAGGGCTGTCGCTGGCAAGAACAAAATCTAATTTTTGTGTATGCTGCTGTGTATCCTCCAGAGTTTTAATACTTTCGGCCTGATTTTTATTTTTCTTCTTCAGGAAAAAAGGGTCTTTTTCACTTGAACAAGTATTTGAGTCGGTGTTCACCATGTTTTCACCTCGTCAACGCTATTTGTAAATGTGATTTTTAAAAAAATCTGTTGTCACGTGTACATACAGAAAAGAAATCTGAATTCTCCAATCGAAATCCTGGGGTGCTCAGGGAGCCATCATTTCCAAAATTGGAGACGGGTTTGGAAAGAAATTGATAGAAATGGCAGGCAGTACAAGAGACGTTCCTTCCATTTTATACACTTTTTGACACTGAGGTTTTCAGAGCTACATTCCTCCAACAGAATTCATAAATTTTGTGTGTCAAACAATGAAGCTATGTTGAAGACTCACTAATGTGAATGCAACTTTTGCCAAATTCTTGACAAATAGGCATCCACCTGAGGATAAGACTGGTTGCTGCTGCCTGTGAGCTTTCTTTCCGCCTGTTACCAAGGCCGTGGAGAACAAAGGGGCGAGTCAAGGCCTTATCAGGGCCTGCCAAGGCTGGTGCCTTAACTGAAGTGCTGATTCGGAGAGCCGGAAGGAGGCTTATCGTCGTCAAGGCTGGAGAGTTGGGTGGCTTGCTCAAGGTCACCATCTGCTTGAGTTCAACCCCAGTTCCCCTTCAGGGCAGGCAGCGCGGTGTGGTGCTTGGAAACCGGAGGGGCCAGGTTCAGGCCCTCCGCCATTCACTGTGTGACCACAGGTTAATTTTACCATTTGTGCAGCAATTTCTCCATCCTTCAAGCAGATGGTTTGCCTGTGCACTTCCTCTGAGGCAGAGAACTAAACGAGGTGATGATGTATGTAGTCTCCCCACCTCCGCCCTGCCTCTGCCTCCAGCCCCTCTTCTGCTCCTTAGCCCTGAGCCTTTTTTTCTCCCTGCGTTGGGTCCTTAGGGAAACTGAAGGTAACTTTTTTCCTTTTGAAATGAAAGAGACCATTCATGGCTTTGCAGTGGTATCTCACACATAAAATGCATTCTCAGTACGTTTGTTGATTGGCCCAGACAGAGATGCTCAAGTAACAGTTGCCACATGGTTAATCACCTGTGCACAGGGGTGAAGAATGTTTCAAAGTCATAGATTCACATTTCATATTTAAGCAAAACACTGGCCCTTGAAAATAAGTTTCTGTTGCTCCGTTTCTTGCATTTGGATGCGTTGCTGAGTGGAAGCTAACAGAACACGGGATCCTGCTGGTAGCCCTTGCAGCAGATGTAAGTGAAGGCAGATCAGCCCTCATTCATTCATTCTTGAGGAGCCGCGCGGAATCCCCTGTCTCCAGAGGAAAGCTAATGACGGGAAAGGTACGAAGCCCTTCATGTGTGTGGCCCAGGAACACACAGAACTCTGTTCTGTCTCCCGAGGGGCCGACTGGACATGGCTGGGCCGGAGGCATGAAGGAGTCAGCTCCCCTGGGTGGACGCTGCGTGAGGATGGGGGTGAGAGGTGAGTACACTTGATGATGGTGAGTCCTGATCTGTTGTCAACTCAGGAGATACTCAGAATTTGAAATGCTGGCTTCCCAGTGGAACTCTCGTTGCTTAGACTCATAAGTCGAAAATTAAATTCCCAGGTACATGCCGTGGAATAATGTAGTCCTGTGGCCTTCCGATGAGCCAGGTTTTGATGTGCTGACCACATCCTGGATCAGAACTAACCCCCCACCCCATCCCAAGCCCACTTCCTCTGTGAAAACCTGTTTCACAATAGAACAGTTTGCCAAGTAATTCCTTGAGTCATGCTGTGGTCAAGGACACTGCTATCCAAAGTGAGCCCTGTCAGTATCCCAAAAGGGTTAAATATTGTTGCTAAAAGCCCAGTGATCAGCCTGTTAGAAATGTGACCCAGCACCCAGGCAGTAGGGTTTTTCATTTTTGATTTTAAGGTGAGTGATGGCTTCATAGAGGTGGCTGGCATATCTGCATCTCACGACCCAGCAGGGAAGTGATTCATTGCTGGCTTACTTGAGCTTGGTCGCCACCATTCCCATGATGTGTCTTCCTGCTCTGTTCTCACACAGTACCCTTTTCCAGGATACTCCAGGCCTGTCTGCCTTAGCACCTTCCCAAGAAATTAAAAAGGAACAAGGCAGATAATCTGCCTAGGAATAGGAATGTAATCAGTGTAAAGAAAATGTGACTCCACGAAGTGTCTCTGGTCTCAAATCCTTGCAGAACTGTTCATATCTCTTCCATCCCTAACCCTCTACTTGAAAACTCCTATTTGGAATGTCTCTTGTTTCCAGCTTATGTTCTCTATTTCCCCTCCAGCTATAGTTTTTCATTAATCTCTTATTCTGCTCACTCAAACATAGAAAGGGCTTCCCTGTTGTCTTCTAGTAACTAGAGAATATGTGCAGATTAAGATTATAAGCAATTTGGCCTACAGGACTAAGAATTTCCATTTAAGAAGAATTTATATTATTTTAGGGACTGGAGGTTGGAGGACAATATAGAAAAAGTAGAAAATAGAATTCTTGCCCTCAAGGAGTCTATAATCTAGAGGAGGCAATGCACACACATTAAGAAATAATAATAGGGTATGATTGCCTGGCAAAATGAGAGTAAATGATACAGGAGTGCATTGAAAACAGGCATTGTGCCCTGCTTCCTGGAAGATTTTTAACCACCTAAAGCCAGTGGGAAAGTCTTAGGCATGCTGTGCAATTTTCTTGAGAACTCCAGCCGTAGGCATGCATGACTCACCCTTATCTCTCAAACCTTAGAAACAAGAGCTCTGTTAGTTTATAAATGCATTGGTTGTACTATTTACTCTGGCCACCAAGTTTTTTGGTTTTTTATTGTAAGTTTCTTTTGCTGAACTTAATCTACAAATTCTTCCCTCGTACCCAGCTCTCATTTCTTGTTTTATGCCATTTAACTTTTTAAAAAATGTTTTGGTCCTACTATACCTTTGCTTTTATCCTAGAGCATCTCCCAATCTTCAGAGCAAGGAGTAGAGTATAAATAAATAATTACACGGACTCTTTGAGACCTCAAAATCAGCTTCCTACTCCACAAGGGAGGTCTGCAGGGAGTCTTTGCTTCCTAGGAAAGCAGATGGATGAGAATCACCACAAACACTCATTTCTTCCATAGGAAGACTCCCTAGTGCTCTTTCCTGTGGACCTTAGAGAAGAGTCATTTGACCTTCTGGGGTTGCCAGACTTCAGCCTTCTTAATGGGTTAGGGGCCCTGGGGGTCTCCAGATAATCCTTCTTCCAGACTTCCATGAAAGATGGAAAGCGAGGTGGTGTGCTGAGAGAATGGAGTTTCACTGCTGTATTGATAGGAACTGCTGGGGGGTGGCAGCTCCCTTTCACTTTTCTAGTTTGGATTCCTACCCAAGATAGATAAAGTATTACTGATAAACGTAGCATAATGAAATTTGGATTAAAAAGACTCTAACCCGAAGAATTAATTCCAGCTTGTGTAACAGCAATAGATACATATTTATGTATTTAAAGGAATATGTAAATTTCATGCAGCAATTTGCAAGCTCAAATGAAAATCTATTTGCCATATTTGGATATAGGACAGCAAGGTAAATAAGCCAAATGTACACATAAGGTACAAGGCAACATATAATTGTATACATTTCCAGTTTGTCACAAAAGATTATAAAAATAAGAAAAAATCTATAAGGAAAAAGGTCACTTATAATCTCACCACCACTTTAAAAATTATTTTCCATGTCTTTTGCCTGTGCGTATATATAGGACTTTGTATTTAAAACCTTATTTTTTATTCAAAAAATTTGCATAAGCACCTTCCTATGTTCCTAACCTAGTCTTCATGGTATCATTGGATGATACTCCAACTGGTTAATGTGCTGTAATTTGTTGTTCTCCTATTTTTGAAAATTTGGATTCTTTCTAGATTTTCTTGCTCTCATAAGTAGGACTGATATGAGAGTCTTTGTAATTTGGATATTTTCTGACTCATAGGAAATGAAAACATACACTTAAAAAAAAAAAAAACTATTTATTTTAAGTGCAGGCATACCCTAAATATAGTGTTAAGCTGTTTAACTATGTAGTGATTCCTGCTCCAGCCTGGACTGGATAGCCCATTTGATTTCCAGTCTTTGGGTTTTTTGTTTGTTTGTTTTGTTTTGTTTTTTGCGGTACACGGGCCTCTCACCATTGTGGCCTCTCCCGTTGCGGAGCACAGGCTCCAGACGCGCAGGCTCAGCGGCCTTGGCTCACGGGCCCAACCCCTCCACGGCATGTGGGATCCTCCCAGACTGGGGCACGAACCCATGTCCCCTGCATCGGCAGGCGGACTCTCAACCACTGCGCCCCCAGGGAAGCCCCAGTCTTTGGGTTCTTAAAAAGAAACAAAACAAGACAGTCTCCCCACACTGGTTGAAATAGAGGCCTTTAAGAAATCTAGCTCCACACATTTCTCCCCCCTCCTCCTCCCACCAACAGAAACACACAATCTTGAACTTTAAGAGATGCTTTCACGGCAGCCACTCTTTCTTGTACCTCGTGTCTAGACCCAACTGATAAAAGTGAATAATGGCTGTGAGGGCTCAGAAGCACTGCCCAGGGTCACTCTTGCCTCCATTTGGGGAAGACCCTTAACTACTGGTAATGAACGGTGATAGAGGGAAGAAGCAGCGATAAAAGAAATTTAAACTGCAGTGCGAAGGATGTGGTCTAGGATAGAGGTCAAAATCCCAGGCTTTGCTCACTTCTGTTTTAAGAGCAGGCATTTTCCAAACAGGTTTGCTTTGCATTTTGTGTTGGATCCCCGTGTGGTGAACAGATGGGAGGTTTTTATTTTAAGTTGTTTGCACTGAGGTTGACAGCCTGGAGAGTTTCCAGAAACATGGACTGAAGTTGCCTTTTCAAAACAAATCTGGAGGAATATATGCCTCAGGACGAATGTATGCCTCAGAACGTATGCCTCAGAAGCTGTTCCAGGCACATTGCTGGGCCCTGCCCCTTTGCCTCCTCTCTCCCTCTTTGTGTTACAAAAAATAAAAACAAATACAGCTACCAAAACAAAAAAAGTTTTGAAGTAAGACCAGAATTTGGAAGTCACTCTGCTACTTACTGGTTGTGTGACTTTGAGTAAGCTCTTAAACTTCTCTGTCTGCATAATGGGGATAATAATAGTACCTGCATCCAGGGCATGATTAAGATGCTACCTGTAAAGTTTTTAGTACAGTGCCTGGCACAGCAAACTCTCAATGATGGATAGCTTCTTTTTTGTGTTGTTATTTAAACACACCTTAGTCTTGTGTCTTTGCAATCAGCCATTATAGCCACCCTTCCCTGGCTTCAAAGAAAAGGCTGCCCCTGTCTCTTCCATACTCACCTGGGTGGCTGCCATATGGTGCTGTCTTTGCTCCTTCAAGGATGCCTCTGATTTTCATCAGGTTGCTTCATCAGGATAGTTCAGAGCCAGATAGCCGATTTAGATCTTCCCCCTGAAATCACAAGGAGACAAGGCTTCATCGCCCTTCAGAACTAAAATCCAGGGAATTCCCTGGTGGTCCAGTGGTTAGGGCTCCACGCTTTCTCTGCCGAGGAGGTGGGTTCAATCCCTGGTCAGGGAGCTAAGATCCTGCAAGCTGCGCGGTGCAGCCAAAAAAACCCACTAAGATCCAATGTTGATGAACGGTAAGAACAGCCCCTCTCCAGTGGGGAGGGGTGGGCTTAAGGAAACCCTGCAAGACAGAAGGACCAACCATCACCAGCTCTCTGGGAGTCACCTCCCCCATGCCATCCAGAAGACAGCGCACACGTCCTGTGTCTCCACCAGGGCATGATGGGGCTTGCCTCTGAGGTTTGGTCTCCTGGGGATTTCTCAGTGACACTATGAAAACCCAGTTCACCTGGTTGGTGATCCTATTCCCAGGCACCAGAAGGTTACTTAGGGTACTTGAAAGTTTTCTTCAGACAAGGACAAAATCCTCATCCTCCTTTGGTGAAATCCTTAGCATCGGAGGTCCTGCTTCCTGGTTTCCTCTGTTGAGATGTGGCTCCTGTCTCTGTATCTCTAGCCTTGGAACAAGGGGGTCGGGAGGAGGAAGCAGACTTTTCTCAGTCGGCGCAGATCCTGGATATGCAGAGGAGGCAGGAGCTGTGGCTTTTGTCTAGAGAGGCTTTGGACTGTGGGGCCGGGTGCAGGGACCCAGGAACAAAAGCCAAGCACCTGCTCTGTGCTTCTGGGTCTGGTTAGCCAGGGTATCTGACACCAGGGAACATCTTTCCTTTCACACTCCATTGTCCTGTGGCTTCAATTACATTCTTGACTCAGAGCCCAGGAATGAGGATAGCAGGCACTCCAGAAATTCTTAGAGCAGCGACTCGCTCTAGGGAGTTTGCAGTCTCCCTACCTCCCTAACTACTCTGCACACCACTGGTCTTGCAGGTGGAGGGTGTCACCACCACCTCCACACAACTGGGCGAGGGTTCCTTAGCCTCAGAACTGGTGTTAAGTTGGGTCCTACAGGGGTGTGTACTGCGCATCAGCAAAAGCAGGGGAGCCCAAAAGAATGAGAAAAAAAGAAGAATTTAGTATTTTATATTTCCCCCCAAAAAAGCACTGATGAAATCATCATTGGAAAAATCTGAATATCCTTACTTCCACTTATTTTTTTCATTCTTTTTTTTATTGAAGTATAGTTGATTTTGTGTTTCAAGTGTACAGCAAAGTGATTCAGTTACACATACATATATATTTTTTTCAGATTCTTTTCCCATATATGTTATTACAAACTATTGAGTATAGTTTCCTATGCTATACAGCAGGTCCTTGTTGTTCCACTTATTTTATTTTTTTATTTTTATTTTTTTAATATATTTATTTATGGCTGCGTTGGGTCTTCGTTGCTGTGTGCAGGTTCTCATTGCGGTGGCTTCTGTTGTTGTGGAGCACGGGCTCTAGGCGCGCAGGCTTCAGTAGCTGTGGTTTGAAGGCTCTAGGGCACAGGCTCAGTAGTTGTGGCACACAGGCTTAGTTGCTCCGCGGCATGTGGGATCTTCCCGGACCCGGGATCGAACCCGTGTCTCCTGCGTTGGCAGGCAGACTCTCAACCACTGCGCCACCAGGGAAGCCCCACTTATTTTATTTTAAATAACAAATGTGTGAAGTCTTAAGCTGACTGTATATCTCATTGATGCCATGGCCCACCACCACAAAGAGCTAGGCCCCGCTGCAAGCTTCTCACTTGTACACTTGCCCTTGACTCTCCTGAGGACCCCAGCCCACCATCCCCCAACACACGTTCACGCACGTGCACACCTAGAGCCATCATCACCTCCACCACTTCTCTCATATGGGTCAAAGGCCGACCACGGTTATGTGTTAACATTTCACGTGTTTTGGCCTCTCTGAATTTGTTTCCTCCTCTGTCTAAGCCTGTCCTTTATGGTTGCATTAAAGAATAAAACAGAAAATATGTCCCAGGTCTGGTGCGTGGCAGGCTACCAGTAAATATTAGGGTTGTTGATGCCCTTTCTCCACTCCTGGCCCATTCTGAAAGGAGGAGAGAGCAGCTGTCTGTCTCTAAAAAAGAACCACCACCATCCCATGCTAGCCCAAGACTAAGGGGTCTCGTAGGGCACTTTTACCCTTTGAAGTAGCCCCCTGAGTCTCCCGCCTCCACTGCCCCAGACTTTAAAGGGAAGGGGCATCTCTGGAGAGAGGCTTGGTGGTGCTGGCATCATTCTCTGAAATTAATGCCTAATTTTTTTCTTTTGTTTTAGAGTCAACCATTAACAAAACACCAGATTCAAAGGGTGGTGCTGGCATCATTCTCTGAAATTAATGCCTAATTTTTTTCTTTTGTTTTAGAGTCAACCATTAACAAAACACCAGATGAGTGTGTCTGAGGACTCCTCAGGGAGGGAGGCCCATCTGGGAAGGGCAGGGCCAGCCCTGAGCCTCCTTGCGTTTCAGCAAGTGGTGCATTTCCCTCTCCCAGGCCCCTGTGTTGTGAAGCTCACGGCCAGCAGCAAGGGCCATATGTGGCGGGAGGGGCGGGGGGATGCAAAGTGTGGATTAATGCTCCCCACACTTTCAGGCACACGAGAATCACCTGGGGACCTTGTCAAAATGCAGATTCTGACTATGGTCTGGGGCAGGCCTGAGGTTCTACATTTCTCACCAGCACCAGGCAATGCCAGTGCTGCTGGTCCGTGGACCACACTTGGAGTAGCAGGGCTCTGAGGTGTCACTTGTACTGGAATGTTGGCATTACTCAGAGAGACTGTAGGTGGTGGGAAGAAACAGGAACCAACTCATTCAGCCCAGGAGTCGCAGTCCAGAAGGGAGCATGTGATGCCCACACCAGCCTGGACTCTGGGGGGATGAGGCCCTGGGGAAGTTCCACAAGACGGGATACAGTGAGAAAGAAGTAATTCCTCACCAGGGAATTGGGGCATCTTAGGTAACCTAAACTCACAAGTGCTGACTCCAGCCCTCCCAGGCTCACAGCAGGCACTGAGGGAGCTAAGGCGCCAGTCAGGGCTACAGGGAGGCAAGTGCTAGGGTACAAAATTCAAGGAGGTGCCCACTCTTGAGGTCATGCAAGTACGTGCACATGAAGGCCTCCTTGGCTTTTTTTTTCTTTTCTTTTCTTTCCTTCTAAATTTATTATTTTCTTCCTTCCTTCCTTCCTTTCTTTTGTGTTGGGTCTTCGTTGCTGCAAGTGGGCTTTCTCTAGTTGCGGCGAGCGGGCTTCTCATTGCAGTGGCTTTTCTTGTTGCGGAGCATGGGCTCTAGGCGCACGGGCTTCAGTAGTTGTGGCACACGGGCTTCAGTAGTTGTGGCTTGCAGGCTCTAGAGCGCAGGCTCAGTAGTTGTAGCACACAGGCTTGGTTGCTCTGCGGCATGTGGGATCTTCCCTGACCAGGGCTCTAACCCATGTCCCCTGCATTGGCAGGCGGATTCTTAACCACTGCGCCACCAGGGAAGCCCGGCCTCCTTGGCTTTTGCACCCTGGAGGCCTCACTCACCTCTGCCTAGTCCAGCCCTGCTAAGGCAGACACCAGTCACTCTTTGGTTTCCCTCTTTGATGTTCCGTCTGGGACAGCCAGCTTGACCCTCTGTGCCCCTGTTTGTCCCTCAAGAAAATAAAGATAACAAAGTGAAAGCGAGGAAGATCGTGCTTAACATAAACATCTCCAGAATCTATTTATCTTGGAATGTCTAGCACCTAACCCAGGACCTGGAATGTAGTAGCAGGTGCTCAGTAAATGTTTTGTTCAATGAATGATTGAATCTTATCACTCAATGGAAAGGACCTTTCCTTATCTAATTGCAGTTCTCCCCTGTCAGAGGGCAGGGGCTGTTTTTCATCATCTCTGTACTTAGTGTGCTCCTGGAATATAATAGAGGCCAATAGAAGTCTGTTGAATTTACTAGAAGTGAAACTTATTCTCCCTGAAGGTAATAAAGTCAGTAGTTGTTTACAAGGCGGCAAATGAGGGACCTTCTTCAAACTATTTCCCTTGTTCTTCTTGAAATTCCTGTGTTGATAATTTGTTCCTTTGACTTTCCTTTTCCTTACCCACTTATCTTACTATATTTTTATTTTTTTTAGCCTTCTTGTGGCTTTTAATTTGATATGCCATCTTCCAGAACGTGCCCCCAGTTAAAGGGATTTCAGCTCTCACGGAGGAGGCGGGAAGGTTTGGTTTTGTTCAGGGTGGGGTTGCAGGGGTACCTTTACCACCAGAGGAAGCCCTCAGTGGTTCTTTTTTTCCCCCGGAGTGGAATTTTTTTTTAATTGAGATATAGTTGATTTACAAGGTTGTGTTAGTGTCTGCTGTACAGCAAAGTAATTCAGTTATACACATATATATTCTTTTTTCATATTCTTTTCCATTATGGTTTATCACAGGATATTGAATATTGTTCCCTGTGCTATACAATAGGACCTTGTTGTTTACCTATTTTATACATAGTAGTTTGTATCTGCTAATCTCAAACTCCTAATTAACACCCCCCCCCATTGTCTTACTTTAAAATAACAGGCCCATAGGGAAAGGATTACATTAACCAAAAACAGAACTTTGCCTTCATTGCATTTTTTCCTTGGGGATTTTGTAAACCAGGCAGACTATCTCTGGTGGGCCCTAGTCAAGCCACTGCCTGTTTTTGTACAACCTGGAGCTAAGAATGGCTTTAAAATTTTTTAATGGTTGAAAAAAGCTCAAAAGAAGAATAATAGTTCATGATATATGAAAATTATATAAAACTCAAATGTCAGTGTTCAAAGTTTTACTGGGACACAGTCACATCCATTCAGTTCTGTGATGTCTGTGGCTGTTTTGTGCTACAATAGTGGAGCTGAGTGGCTATGACAGAAACTTAGTGTCCACAAAGTCTAAAATATTTACTATTTGGCTCCTTTACAGAAAAAGTTTGACTCCCTACTCTCAGAGGAGGCTGTTTGTACTCCAGCACTTATCCTATTGTCTTGTTCCAGTATTTTTTTACAAAATCACTAGATATAACCTAATTTTAGTGAGGAAGAGACACTCATTTTAGAAGCTACATAGATTCCCAGAAAGTTATGTGTGAGTAGAAATCTTATGAATAAAATCATGGTTTAAAGATTTTTTTATATTTCTACTTAAATAATTATTTAGGTGTGGCGAGATGACCATGTTCTCTCTCTGAGTTTTGGAGTCAGGTTTGTTTGAAGCAGGCACTGTGTTACCGCAGAGGCACCTCCTCTTTATCTTGTCTTTTCACTGCTCATAATTCTTGGGGCTCAGGCCGTCAGCGGTGGTGCACTCCATGCTTAATCTCAGTCTCGGCTGCCTGGAGGCAGACTGCTTGAATTATGCCCCTACAAGAGAGGGACAGTTATCTCAGGGCCGGAGGAGGAAGTGATTTATTCTAGGTACTCCCAACAATATGCCTGGGAAATCATCTGTCTGCAGCTAAATGGTTTCCATACTGCAAGGAGTAGGGGTGGGCAGCAACAGGCAAGGATAGGGATTCCAGAATTGGCATTTCTCCTCTTGTCCCCCACCCCCCCCCCAAGGTTAGCAGTAAGTGTGAGGCTGTCCTTCTGACCCCCATAGCCCCACATGGATTCTCTCCACAAACTTTTGGTTTTGCAGCTGGTCGGCTTGAAGGAATGTGATCTTAGGCTGAGTTGGCAGCACAGAGATTTTCAAGTGTGACATCACTTCCCATTCGGGAAAGTTGATGAAGTCTGATCCCAGCCTGAAAGTTGTGATTTCCCCTGGCTCTCTGGAATTCTAGGGTTCCTGGATTTGCCGGAGGCATTCTGTTGCTCTCAGCAGTATTAGTCTTGGAGCTCCGTGTTCCCTTCCCACCTTACTGCCGCATGAGAATTCACAGGCCACTGGCAGGATGGGAGCCTTCTAGCCAGCCTCCGGATTGCAGGTGAGCAATTTGAAAGTGAAGTCCACCTTCAGGATGGAGGAGAATTAATGGAAGGCTACAGGCTTTCACTCTGCCTCCCCCAGTGAATTTTTCCATCTGCCGTTTTCATAGTGTAATGTGGTATATATCAAGAAATACCTTTAAACCAAGAATCCCCAGTCTTTTCCTGAGGTGAAGAGACTTTGCCTTTGTCAAGAGTCATAAAATCCCAGTAGTACCACACAACACTTCTGACACCAGATGTGTGGGTTTTCCACACATCAAGCAATTCTCTGACACCAGTTGGGTGTCCTACCATTCAGTTCAGTTCTGCACTATGTACTTAGAGTTAGCATTAGATCCCACAGGTTAAGGGCTCCGTCCCACAAGACTGTTCCCACTTCAGGGGGACAATTCCCACTTGCCAATCCCAAGTCCCAGCCTGTCACGCCTACTTCTGACCATCCCCTGGCTATAAACTGAAGTTCCTCGACCCCCTCCTTGGGTTAAAAATTTTGCTAGGATGGCTCACAGAACACAGGAAAATATTTACTCATGGTTATCAGTTTACTATAAAGGATATAATAAAGATATGAGGGAATTCCCTGGTGATCCAGTGGTTAGGACTCAGAGCTTTCACAGCCGAGGGGCCTGGGTTCAATCCCTGGTCCCACAAGCCGCATGGCATGGCACAGCAAAAAAATAAAAAAGATTTGAATGAGTAGCCAGATGAAGAGATACAGGGCAAGGTCCCGTAGGGTCCCGAGTGCGGGAGCTTCTGTGCCCGTGGAGTTGGGACATACCACCATCCTAGCTTGGAGGTGGGTGGCAGGTACAACCATGAAGGCGGATTATTAATGGATGGGACTAAGTCATTAAAAAGGAGTGAGAGGAACTACTATATGCCAGACAGAGGAAGCACCATCTTTGATGCAGCTATCAGTATTTCTTTATATTACAGAAAGTATAAAAATACAGCTTCAAGACACATGCCCTAGACTCTGCTCTCAGACTGCCAACCATAAGCTCCAGCTGGTTCCTTGGACTTTGCACAGGTTCTCTTATTCGACGCTTGCAATAACTATATGAACAGGTAATATTATCCCCTTTTTAAATGAAAACAAAATTGAGGCTCAGAAAGCACACAGAGCTGGGAAGTGGTAGAGCTGGGATCGGAGCACAGGACTGGCGTGTGCAAAGTTCAAGTTCTTTTTTTTGCCATTTTCTGCTACTTTCTGCTGAGAATGCTAATGAGCTTCAGGGAGGAGAGGAGGGGCCCAGTGGGAGTGGCTGGTTTGAGGATGGGCCAGGCAAGGCTCCAAGGCCTTCTGATGGACTGCCCGGTCTGTCCTTCAGGGAACCCTGGGATGAGCTGTAACGGGAGTGAAAGTCCAAGGGAGAAGACAGACGTCCCCCAGGCAGAGAAAGCTGAGCCCGCTTCCCCCACAGTGTGGGCCATGGCTTTACAAGACGAGTGGGCAGTTGGACCCAATCCATGCTGACCCAGAGGACAGAATCAGCCTTTTTAATTAGTTCATCTGGTTCACCTGGTGGAAGTGACAGTCACTCATAATTCAGGAGGTGCCGATTTTCCATCCCCCGAGTAGCACAACCATCCCTTTAAAGGGACTTCACTTGTCAAGTTCAGTGAGGAGACAGACCCCTGCCCACCAGCACCACATTATAACTGCTGTGGACCCTGGGTATTCTGACTTTTAGGGGCTCCTTCCTCCATAAAAAATGGTTAAATTTTATTTTATGTCTGCATTGGTATGAAGACAAATATATTAATATTATATATTAAAACATTTTCTTCAACCTAAAATTTTTTTTTCTTCTGATTTTAAAAGCAATTAAGACACATTCATGGGCCTCCTAAAGTGTCATGTGCCCTGGGCCCTGCACCTCCCATGATTTAACAGAGAAGTTGGCCCTGCTGCCCACCCCTTCCCCCTCTGCTCCATCCCACCTCTGTGACCCTGTTTGCTCAAACAAGCAAAGAGCCTGTGTTTGCTGAAGGAAATTCACAGTACACTGCATTTCTTCCCGGAAGAAAGCTGAGTAATAAAAGGCAGTCAAAGGGAAAGAGACCCTGAGAAAGCCCAGGACTGGGAGTCGAGAGGCCTGTGTCTCAGTTGGGACTTTGCCACCTGACTCCTCAGTTGTCCTGGGGAGACAGGAGTATGTTGTTTCAGGGGTGTGTTGAAGGTCAGAGGACCCAGAGGCAGGACCATGAGCGGGAGTAAAGTTTCAGTGAAGCCAGAGCTCAGATTGATCTAATTACTTTCTAACGGTGAAAAAGGCAAGCAAAAGTCTTGACCTGAGAGATGGGAGGTCCCCATCCCGGAAGTGGCCAGCAGGGGCTCCTGCCCAGGTGCTCTCAGGGGATGGAGGCACCAGATAATACTTGTGGAAGGAGATTTTCACAAGTATTGTGAAAATACTAGATGAATTCAAGGGACCTGGAGAGTGCAGGCGTTCCTGGCAAGTCTGCTGTTTGAGAGAGAAGCAGCCAGACAAGGGAAGGGGACAGTGTGACCTAGGCTCCCTGGAGAGCAGCCCTGGGCAGGGTGGCCACACTGCTGGCACAGGCAGCTTGGAGGATGTGGGGTGAGAGAGGGTGGACACGGGGTGGAAAGGGTAGTGCCGACCAGATGGCAGGAAGCTGCGAGGGACTTGAGTGACCTCTCTCCACGGCCCTCAGAATTTATCACATCTCCCACTTCATGAAATGTTCAGTGTGGTTGGATATTTTGTAGGAAACAACGAAGGAGCTGAGCTCTGTGACCAGTTTCGATACCAGCTGAAACCGAAGCATGAGCAGATATGCAAGAGCAAAGAATCAGAAGATGCCAGAAGTGAGGTGAGGGACGGGTCAGAGTCTTGGGAAGGGCTTTTAGCAACAGCAGTCAGGGCCGTCTGGCCAGTAGGCCCCGCTGGCACAGGGCCTCTTGCAGACCAGCTTTTTCAAAAGCCTGTGAAAACATGTGAGATGAGAAAAAAATTAATGGATCTAAAACACAAAAAGTATAAAATTGAAAGTAATACATTTTAATGAAGCATCCATAAGACATAAAATTATGTCAACTTCATTCATTTTTCAATTTAGTGTTTATAAATTATTTACATTTGAAAAGAAAGCTATGGTTTGATTCTCTCACCCTATAAAATTTCCTGTGTGTGTGTGATGACAGCCCACAAATCATAGTCAGTCATATAGTCAGTGAATAACTGGTAGCTAAATAGTTTCCAAAGCAAAATTAAGAAAACCTTTTTGATTTTTTCCACAGCAAAAAATGTTATATTCCATGTGAAATGTGGGTATATGCTAATGTGTTTGATATGATGTGGAATGTGGACTCCATAATTAAAAGGCCCTGGGGCTTGTTATGGTCTGAAACCAGCCCTGGTCATAGGCCCTGGAATTGGGGTGTAGGCCAAGTTGAACCAGATCTATGAGGAGTGAGATAGGGGCCTCAGCTGACGTCAGATAATAACTGCATTAGGTGAACTCAGAGCCTTCCAATTCAGAGTCCATCTGTACACAGGTCCTTTCAACCCTGAAGGGCTAGTCAGATGTATAAGCTTTCATTTGTATTTTTATTTTTTATCTTTTATATACAATGTGTTAGGCATTTTTAAATCATTTTTAAAATTTTTTATTTTTTATACAATTTTGAAAGGTTACCCTCCATTTACAAAATATTGGCCATATTCCCCATGTTGTACAATACATCCTTGTAGCCTGTCTTAACACCCAGTAGTTTGTACCTCTCACTCGCCAATCCCTTTAATGCCCCTCCTCCACACTGGTAACCAGTAGCTTGTTATCTGTATCTGTGAATCTGCTTCTTTTCTGTCACATTCATTCGTTTGTTGTATTTTTTAGATTCCACATATAAGTGATATCATACAGTATTTGTCTTTCTTTGTCTGACACTGAGCATAATGCCCTCCAAGTCCATCTATGTTGCTGCACATGGCAACATTTCATTCTTTTTTATGGCTGAGTAGTATTCCTGTGTGTGTGTGTGTGTGTGTGTGTGTGTGTGTGTGTATCACCTCTTCTTTATCCAGATAGATGAGCTTTTAGATATGGTGAGCATAAAGCTCTCTGGAAGGAAGAAGCACCTTACAAGTGTAGTGAACTGTTATATTAAGTCTCCACTAGGGCTAAAGTAACTCATGGAGGAGAAAGTGACCCAAAATGAGCAGGTGATAACTTACTACTTGGCTGGTGGCAGGGAGCCTACACATGTCAGGAGACCTGGGTATGAGGCAAGGAGCCAGTGGGGGGCCTCTGGCCTGGACTGGCTGACGTGTAGCATCGCTTAGCGGTGGTAGGTGTCCTGGTGGCAGCTGGAATGTACTGTCACCCACTCAAGCACTAAAAGGCGACACTGATTGCCATCTTCTCCTTTTTTCCCCCTTAATGATTTCACTCTTACACTTGAGAGAAGGGAGGAGAAATAAGAAGTGCTCTCCAGACTTCTCTCTCCCCCCCTCATTTTTTTGTCTTGGTCCTTTTCCCGGGCTCCTGTTGTGCCATGCCCTTCCTCGTCACACCCAGCTGTGTTCTGTCCCTGCCCCAGCCCTCCACAGCCAGGTTTCTTTGCCTGCATGTTTCTTTCAGTGAGGCCACAAAGGTGGGACCAGTAGATACCCCACTGGAAGCCTCGCAGGCTGGGTGCAGAGCTGTGAGTGGTGGAGAGGGGGGAGGCCAGCCTGAGGAGCCCCAGGGGTAACCATGGGAGGACTCAGGCCCCCCATCACCCCACCACCAGTGGCTCTGGGCAGAGGATCTCAGCCCTGAAGTAGCAGTGAGAGGATGCTGGCTGTAAGGCCCCTGGTGTTTGCTTCTCATGGTAGGTGACCCGGGGAAGGCAGCTTAATGGGTCTGTGTGTCTCTCTATCATGGGTGTCAGTGATCAGAAAGGAGCAGCCAAAGAGCAAAGGGGAGCAGTGGCCCTCCTTCCCCAAGGAGACCCCGCCCCTTCCCAGGGCTACCTCCGTCACACCAGGGTCCCTTCAGACCCTGAAGTCTAATCATTTTCACAGCCGTGAACTAACATTCATCTAGTACTTCCCTGCGCCCCGTGATGCTGGGAACAAGGTGGGGCAGGTGTCAGAATTATGCCCATTTTACAGGTGAGGAAACAGTTTGGGAGTGAACTGACTGGCCAGTGTTCTGGGGCTAGCAACGGATGAGCTGATCGAGATTGGAACCTCATTCTTCTGACTCCAAGCTCAAGGTGTGTGGGCTTGAGCTCCGAGCCCACAGGAAGCGCCGGCTCCCACTAAGCCTCCAGTTAGGCCATGAGTGAGTATTTGGAGTAGGAGTATGCACGCAGTGAGTACATGCGATCCCAGAACCAGAATTTCTGTCTCAGGCAACCCTCAAGGCTCCTAAAATGCAGACGTCATGTACAGCCGTTGAATTTTAGAGGGGAAGATTATTTCTTTTATGGCAAAATTCATTCATTCATTTATTCATGTATTCATTCACTCAACAAGTATATATATTAAGCAATACTCCATCTCCAATAAACGCAAGCCAATTTGCCAAATTTGCCAAAAATCAGCACCCCCCTAAAACCCCACCTGCAACATAATCAACTCACTCCATTTGTCGATTTAATCACTTTGTTAACTGACTAGTTTACTAGTTTTACCAAGTTTGCTTATTTTATGAGCTTGAACAGTAATGTTTTAACAATTAAAATATTGGCTACACAGACAGTAGAAATTAACATTTTTTCCACATGAAATACTACTTTTCCAGGCAAAATTCCAGCCTTTAACTATACGATAGGATTATTTTGGCTAACTCTGGTCTCTTTACGTGCTTTATTTTCAAACTCGAAACATTTAAATATTTTTTTGTCAGTTTCTTGAAATGATATAAGCTTGAACTTTATAGGGGCAGTGCAGGGAAATGGCTACGTAGGAAGGCCTGGACCTGGACCCAGCCTGCCCGGGGTGTCAGCCCAGCTCTGCCACTTTCTTAGGGACAGCTTACTTGTACATATGTGATGTGATCTCAGCCATGTTATGTACAAACACTGGGGGAAGAAAAAACACATCATGATAATAACGGGGTTATTTCTGGGTGGTGGGATCGTGAGTAACTTTACTTGCCTTCCTTATAACTTTTGTCAATGGAAAGAATTAATCAATGGTCAATCTAAGAAAGAAAGGGAAAATTTTATTCGAGCCAAGCTGAGGACTATAGCCCAGGAGGCAGCTGGCTACTCTGAGAAACTGCTCTGAAGAGGTAAGGGGAGAGGTCAGTAATGTGATTTGGGGGAAGAGGGTATGTGCAGTCAAGCACACGTCTCAGTAGAAGGTTGCTGCTAGTCACGAGAAACAGACAGCTTAATTGATGATCGTAGTACTTTTCTAAGTATGGGAAGATGCAAGAATCCAGGTCATAAAAAATTTTTCCTTAAAATATCAAACTATCTAAAGGCCTGTTCTGCCAGATTTCTCAGAGCACAGAGTGCCTCATTCCAGATCTTCACTCTGAATTCCTTTCTCGGGTGTACTGTACGTCAGCGACTGCAGTGGCTAATGACTTGATTTGTGTAGAACTAGATGGTGGGCAACATTCTTTATTTTACAATCACTTCCCTTTTGGTCTTAATTTCAACCAAGGTTTGGGAGGCATTTGGTGACCAGTTTGTCCCACGGTGCTAGAAGTGCTCATTCCCAGGATAGGTGAGGATTTCATCGATAGGCCACTCAATGTGCTATTACTGGACCAGGCCCTGTGAACAGTAGCCCAAAGTCTGTTACGGTCCAGGAAATGATTCCCTCTTGTTGCTTCTTCCCATAAAGAGATACACCATTACAATCCTTGATCATATAGAACTATATATTTGGCCAATCATTTCAAGTCACCTAATCATCATTAATTTTATCCGAGGCTCAGTCACATATTTGATAATGCAAGAAATAATCTTGTAAAATAGGCAAAATACAAGTAATATAGCTGGTAACATGAATAAGATCATAAGTAAGTATTTAAGCTGAGAACTTCCATTAGCTGTGGCCCAGTATCTCCCCAGGTAGTCTAACCAGTCTGTTCTGCATTAAGTGATGATATATTGACATGGTGCATAAAGTTCACCAAAGATGTCTGCATCTACAAGGTGAGTGGTGGGTCACTGTGACCTCTTACAGGATTGAGAAAGGGATGTTATCTTCTAAGGAGTTACATAGCTGGCACCAGAAGGAGAAACATTGATCTTTATGGTTGAGTAGGTACTTCTGCTGTTGGGGAAGTCTGGTTAACACGTAATGCAGGTGCACAATGCACACTAGAGGGGAGGGAGGAAGCCAAAGGGCAGAGAAAAAGTTTTACGTTTAAATTTTTCTTGTCTTCCCTTAAAACGTGAATTTTATTTCAACACTTTTCTATATGTTTTAGGGCATCCTTTTAATGATTTTAAGGGTAACTACATAAGAGGAACTGTGCCAGAGGGCTTCGTGTATGTTGTTTTATTTACTTCTCACAACCAACACCCAAGATAGGTAATATTATCACCATTTTACAGAAAAAGAAACTGAGGCTCCAAAGCATTAAGTAACTTGCATGTGGTCCCACACCCCCGAGGAATCTGGCTTCCTCATCTCATGCTAATATTACTTCCTCTGGCTCAACCTAAGGGGCCTTCTCTGTTAAATGTGTAATATCTGCGTCTCAAAATACGGAGGAAGGGTGGAGTGAGATGTTGATGTATGAAAGCCCACTGCAATGATACAGCCCTCTATAAAGGATAATATGAATGAGGAGCATGTGTTATATTCACTGTGCTCTTCTAAGGCTCTGTATATATTATGTTCCTTCAATCAGCTCAATGAGCCTTCAAGGCAGGTGGCCATTATTATCCTCATTTTACAGAAAAGCATATCAAGGAACAGAGAGGGTAACATGCCAAGTTCACACAACTGTACATGATATTAATGATCTCAGTGGGAGCGTTTCCATTGTAAATGACTTCTGGGTCATCTTTCCCAATCTCCCCTTTGAGTTCCTCAGGGAGAGAAAGGGAAACACCCTACTAGAAGTCAGACAGTCCACCTGGCTCAGCAGGAGGTAGGTGAGGGGTGGGAGGCAGGTCAAAGATCAGAGGTCAGGCATTAGGATCAGCACCTTAATTGGTGCTTGTTGACCTTGCTTTCCAAGGACTGTAGGGGACAACCACGAACTCCAAGGACACTGCTGCCACCTGCTGTTCACACATTTTCCAGCCAAGGCTTCTCCCCAACATCAAGATCTTCACCACTGTCTTCCCCAGACCCCTTCTGTGGCCTGGGTAAGAGAATTTCAACCTTTCAATTTCAGATGCAGGGAGGATAAGCCCTTAGCAGAAGTAGAAGGGCGCCAATAAGAGTGCAGAGATGCTTCTGAGCCATGCAACCTAGAGGCAAGACCTTGCTTCTTTGAATCTGTCTTCATCTGTAAAACAAAGACAACCATAATATCTGCTTCATACAATTGCTTTTAAGATGAAATAAGATATTTTCTCTCTACAATCTACCTTCTTTTTTTAAATATTTATTTATTTGGCTGCATTGGGTCTTAGTTGCAGCATGTGGGATCTTCATTGCAGCGTGCGGGATCTTTCATTGCAGCGTGCGGGATCTTTCATTGCGACCCACAGGCTTCTCTCTAGTTGTGGTACACGGGCTCAGTAGTTGCGGCACACGGGATCTCTAGTTGTGACACGCAGGATCTAGAGCACGTGGGCTTAGTTGCCCCGTGGCATATGGGATCTTAGTTCCCTAACAAGTGATTGAACCCACATCCCTGCATTGCGGGGGTGGATTCTTAACCACTGGACCACCAGGAAAGTCCCACAGTCTACCTTCTTTTTTTTTTTCTTTTTAAAAAATGTTTTCTAGATTTTTTGATGATGGCCATTCTGACCGGTGTGAGATGATATCTCATTGTAGTTTTGATTTGCATTTCTCTAATGATTAATGATGTTGAGCAGTCTTTCATGTGTTTGTTGACAGTCTGTACATCTTCTTTGGAGGAATGTCTATTTAGGTCTTCTGCGCATTTTTGGATTGGGTTGTTTGGTTTTTTGTTATTGAGCTGCATGAGCTGCTTATAAATTTTGGAGATTAATCCTTTGTCAGTTGCTTCATTTGCAAATATTTTCTCCTATTCTGAGGGTTGTCTTTTCGTCTTGTTTATGGTTTCCTTTGCTGTGCAAAAGCTTTGAAGTTTCATTAGGTCCCATTTGTTTATGTTTGTTTTTATTTCCATTTCTCTAGGAGGTGGGTCAAAAAGGATCTTGCTGTGATTTATGTCATAGAGTGTTCTGCCTATGTTTTCCTCTAAGAGTTTGATAGTTTCTGGCCTAACATTTAGGTCTTTAATCCATTTTGAGTTTATTTTTGTGTATGGTGTTAGGGAGTGTTCTAATTTCATACTTTTACTGTACTGTATGTAGCTGTCCAGTTTTCCCAGCACCACTTATTGAAAAGGCTGTCTTTTCTCCACTGTATATTCTTGCCTCCTTTATCAAAGATAAGGTGCCCGTATGTAAATTGATACAGCTACTATGGAGAACAGTATAGAGGTTCCTTAAAAAACTACAACTAGAACCACCATACGACCCAGCAATCCCACTACTGGGCATATACCCTGAGAAAACCATAACTCAAAAAGACTCATGTACCAAAATGTTCATTGCAGCTCTGTTTACAATAGCCAGGACATGGAAGCACCCTAAGTGTCCATCCACAAATGAATGGATAAAGAAGATGTGGCACATACACACAATGGAATATTACTCAGCCATAAAAAGTAATGAAATTGAGTTATTTGTAGTGAGGTGGATGGACCTAGAGTCTGTCATACAGAGTGAAGTAAGTCAGAAAGAGAAAGACAAATACCGTTTGCTAACACGTATATATGGAATTTAAGAAAAAAATAAAAATAAAAGGTCATGAAGAACCTAGGGGCAAGATGGGAATAAAGACACAGACCTACTAGAGCATGGACTTGAGGATATGGGGAGGGGGAAGGGTAAGCTGTGACAAAGTGTGAGAGTGGTATGGACATATATACACTACCAAACGTAAAATAGATAGCTAGCGGGAAGTAGCCGCGTAGCACAGGGAGATCAGCTAGGTGGTTTGTGACCACCTAGAGGGGTGGGATAGGGAGGGTGGGAGGAAGGGAGATGCAAGAGATATGGGAACATATGTATATGTGTAACTGATTCACTTTGTTATAAAGCAGAAACTAACACACCATTGTAAAGCAATTATACTCCAATAAAGATGTTAAAAAAAAAAAAAAAAACCTGAAAGCATAGACAGTTTATCAAACAGTGTTTCAGAGTTGAGGAAATTGATTTCCCCCAGAGAGTGAAATTTGGTCCAGAAATGAATTCAGCACATTTGCTTTATTAAGGAAATGCTTGGCTGTATCTATTTGGAAATCTCCTTGAGCAATAAATTTGATGATTTAGGCATGAACCTTCCAAAAAAAAAAGATTTTTAAATTTATGTATTTATTTTTGGCTGCGTTGGGTCTTCGTTGCTGCGTGCGGGCTTTCTCTAGTTGTGGCGAGCGGGGGCTACTCTTCGTTGCGGTGCGCGGGCTTCTCATTGCTGAGCATGGGCTCTAGGCACATGGGCTTCAGTAGTTGTGACTCACGGGCTCTAGAGCGGGGGCTCTGTAGTTGTGGCGCACAGGCTTAGTTGCTCCGCAGCATGTGGGATCTTCCCGGACCAGGGCTCGAACCCATGTCCCAGACACATTCTTAACCACTGCACCACCAGGGAAGCCCCCAGTCTACCTTCTTACCAGAAAAAAAGTTAGCTATATAAAGGACAAGCCAGGATGGGGAACAATTAAGCATCCCCATATGTCTAAAATCAACCTTTGCTTACATTAACATTTTTAACAATTAAAAATTTTTTTACTTAGTAAAGCATTTCCCTTTATATTTTGCTACTGATTTTGAAATTATCAAAATTAAGTCTCAAGTCATTTTTTGTGCATTTTATTGAGTATCTGAACCAGAATGTGAAATACTGAAAAGGATATCTGATTTTTTTTTTTTTTGAGAAAAAGCTTTCATAATTGAAAGTGTCTCTCCCATCTGAGACTGCCAGAGTCATTTCCAAGATTCTGGTTCACAAGTTTCACATCACTTCTTTCAGGCAAGGCATCTAGCAAATGAGCAACGT